TTCTGTCTGCATTAACTATGGTGGGGGGCAGACTGGGCCATTTTGTCAAAGCATGGCACATGATCACGGCAGACGCCTGGGTGCTCCACACGGTCCGGGGTTATTCTATAGACTTCGTTCAATACCCAGTCCAATTAGAACCCCCCGGCCGAATGGTGTTCTCCACACGGGACCGGGAGTTGATAACTCAAGAGGTCCAGGCCTTAGCCTCAAAAGGGGCAATCTATTCGGTTCCCTCTACCACACCGGGCTTCCTAAGCAACCTATTCTTGGTACCCAAAAAAGGTGGAGGTGTCCGCCCAGTCATCAACTTGAGACCTTTAAACATGTTTGTCACATACCACCATTTCAAGATGGAAGGTATACACTCCCTACGGGACCTCCTCCTCACAGGGGAATGGATGGTCAAACTCGATTTGAAGGACGCATACCTCACGGTCCCAATGGCCGACGACTGCCACCACTTCCTGCAATTCCGCTGGGAAAGGAACGTGTGGCGTTTCCAATGCCTACTGTTCGGCCTCTCATCACCTCCCTGGTGCTTCACAAAGCTCATGAAACCAGTGGAGGCCCTCCTACGCAGCAGGGGCATACGGCTCATAATATACCTGGACGATATCCTCATCATGGCCCAGGACCCGCTTCTGTTGCAAGAACATTTCTCCTGGACGAGGAATCTGTTAGAAAACCTGGGTTTTCTGATCAACTGGGAGAAGTCGGTCATCGAACCCTCGCAGGCTATAGAATTTCTGGGATTCACCATAAACGCAGTGACCGGAACACTCCTACTCCCAGCGACCAAGGTCAAGGCCATCAAAAAGGAGCTCAGGAGGACGCTCACACGTCCAGTCCTTACTTTGAGACAGCTGGACAAGATTGTAGGCCTCCTCTCGGCGTCAATTCAGGCCATTTTCCCCGGGCCCCTACACTACAGAGCACTTCAAAGGTTGAAGGCAAAATACCTTCGCTTGGGGCACTCATACTCCGACTCTGTTCCTCTCGACTGTGCCGCCAAAGAGGAAATCAAATGGTGGCTACAACACATGGAAGCCTGGAATGGCCGCGCGATCTTCGGAACGGCGCCAGACCTCGTAATCGAATCCGATGCCAGTTTGCTCGGTTGGGGTGCGCGCTGCGGACCTTTCTCCACCGGAGGAAGATGGTCCAAGGAGGAACAAGGACTTCATATCAATTGCCTCGAACTGTTGGCAGGTTCGTTTGCTTTACGGAGTCTCTTGAACGTGACGACCAACTGTTCCACCCTGTTACGCATGGACAATGTGTCCGCAGTTCGATATATCAATCACCTCGGGGGCACGAGGTCAGCAATACTTGCGGAATTAGCGAAGGACTTCTGGCAGTTCTGCCTGGACCGCAATATATCAGTGCAAGCGGAACACATCCCAGGGATGAGCAATGTGGTAGCGGATTGGAACTCCAGACATCTACGGGATGCCAGCGATTGGCGGCTGAATCCGGCCATTTTCAGCCATTTACACTCACTGTGGGGGCCGCTGGACATCGACCTGTTCGCGTCACGGCTGAACACGCAGTTGCCGAAGTTTTTCAGCTGGAGGCCAGATCCGGAGGCGCTGGCGACAGACGCTTTCCGACAACCGTGGCCGCACACCAGGCATTACGCTTTTCCCCCCTTTTCTCTCATCGCGCGGACCTTGCTGCAACTCAGACGACACCGGACATCCCCAATCCTCGTATCTCCATTTTGGACGTCTCAACCCTGGTTCCCTACACTCCTGGAACTGTCCATAGATCTACCGAGGTTACTGCCAGTACACGACAACATCCTCTTGGACCCCTATGGCAATCCGCACCCTCTCATACTACAGGGACATCTCAAGCTTTTGGCATGGCTCCTTTCAGGGGACTCGAGGACACCCGAAATGTTCCACAAACGACTCTGGACCTCTTGGCAGGAGCTTGGGCCCCTGGCACAAGGAAATCATATTTACATGCCTGGAACGCATGGTATGGTTGGTGCGTGGAACAACACGTGGATCCCATATCTGCAACTGTGAGTCACGTCCTGGGTTTCCTTACTTCCCTTTTCGACCACGGCCTGGCGTATTGTACAATTAATCTCTATAGATCCGCTATCTCGGCAGGCCACGTAGGTTGGAATGGAATTCAAACAGGGAAATACCCGATGGTGTGTCGACTCCTAAGAGGCATAAAATTTGCACGACCACCACGACCTGGGTATTCCGAATTATGGTATGTGAACCTCGTTCTCCGACTTTTTGAAAGTTGGCCGAAGAACGGAGATTTGTCGATCAAACAACTCACCGCAAAATTAGCCACTTTGTTCTGCCTCATCTCCTGTAAATGGGTCTCAGATGTACGGGCATTGGACATTCAGGCACGCTCTTATACACCGGAAGGGGTGGGCTTTGATATATCAAGGCGTACGAAAACGTCCATCACAAAGGTTCTTTACCCCGCTTTTCCACACAACAGTAACTTATGCGCAGTAGCCTGCCTTAAGGAGTATGAAGCAAGGACGGCTGCGGACCTATTCCTGGCCATTCGACAACCGCATCGTCCGGTTTCTACAGTCACACTATCGCGCTGGGTCAAATGGATCATGACGTCGGCAGGCATTGATACTTCCACATATGGAGCACATTCAGTAAGGGGTGCGATGGCATCAAAAGCGTTTTCATTAGGCTGTAAATTGGAAGATCTCCTCCGAGCTGCCGATTGGTCGAGAGAATCTACATTCCGTGAATTTTATTTCCGTCCGGTTCCTCATTTTTCCACGTCGGTGATCACACAGCTTTGAACTAGCATAATAGGAGCCTCCGTGTCCTTTAATAAAATTACCAGATTTTACTAATTTCATGACGTAAAGTCATGATTTTATAAAGGACACGGAGGCGAGTATTATCCCACCCACGAGAGGTAAGTCGCCCGCCTCTGGGAATATAATACATGTTATGGGAATGGCACAGTGTAATAATGTGTTACCTTATTGCTTTTGAATGGCTAACTTGAGAATGATGTTGTGCTAGTTAATTTGGATTATGAACGTGGAAAAATATTATCCAAGAACATATTTTACCATCTCGTTTCTCTGTTTTACAGCTTCCTAATTGGAGTGCCATAATGGTTTCAAGCATGCCCACTGGAGTGCGTATGGAAGATGACCAGTTTCTTACGGATTTGTTGAGTTTTCGTCTGACGTCATCTTCTATTGGATACGCTGTTTTTTTTCTTTACACGTTCACTGTTTGGAATTGTCACTGCTGAATTTGGAGTGTTCATCAACACCAACAAAAGAAAGAGGAGTGGCTTAGGGTCACATGGGACTTTGTGGTAATGGGGACACTCTGATTGGTTCATATGTGGTATCTGATTAACCCTTTAGAAGTATGATGTGGTGTTGTTGAACTGTTTTTTCCCTTTTACATTGAATATATATACTATATTTTTCTTTTGCTGCTGAAGAATAAAAGAAAGAGAGAAGCATAATAGGAGCCTCCGTGTCCTTTATAAAATCATGACTTTACGTCATGAAATTAGTAAAATCTAGTAATTCCTCCATATACTACAGGGAACCATAATCCTCATTATCCTGGAAAGGACTTCCATGCTCATCATCCAAGTAAAGCAAGCGAAGGGAGGTTACAGGGATTAATAATTGGTTTGTACCCAAAGTTATTGGCATAAAAAAGGAATACACTTGTCTGCTCTCTGGGATTCAGTTACTCCTAAATTGCTTTACTGGAAGTAAAAATTAATGCTGATTACTCATTCCTAATTTATTTCACACATTATTTGGATTCTAACGGACTGATTATTTTACAATCCGTATCTATTTAATTTCATCATTTACTATTGCAGTTTAAGAGATTGTCTCCGGTATTAACTGTTTCTTCCTATTCCTTATTTTGATGTCAAATGGACTGTTACAAATTCATAATTAAGGAGTTACCCTGTGAAATTAAGTGCTATTTTATTTGAAGCAATACTAAGCAAGATCACTATGGCTATATGAAATTATTTCCAGTTTTTATGGCATCAAAAGACCGCTAAAGTACCTTATTTCAATAAATTATATTTTCTTAAAGTGGCAGTATCAAATGTATTCATTCACCTGTGGCTGAGTTCCAAATGAATTTTACCTAAGGTATCACAGCTTCTATCTTTACTACAATTTTCAAGCTGTGAATTATTTGCTTTGCATGGTACACTTTTTTTTTTTTAATTTCTATGATTTTTGTGTGTACAAACACTCAAATTGTGAACTTTACTATAACATGCCAGTGAATTCCAAAGACCAAAAATGTGCCAAGTGACAAATCCTTCAAAATTTATGTAATAGTTTCATGTAAATCTCTTTCCAGGAGTTAAAAATTAATTTCTTAACCCCTTAAGGACCATACTTCTGGAATAAAAGGGAATCATGACATGTCATGTGTCCTTAAGGGGTTAAAGAAAGGGGGGGGGGATTATAAAACCAAAAATAGCCAATGCTATTTGTAGATTAAAATGTTATCAGTTCATCTTTGGTATTCCAGAGAAGATTTTAATTTGGTTTCACTTGGGTTATGCTGGTGATATAGCAGGCAGAAGTAATCTGTGACAAAAAAGGTCACTGGAAGTAACACTATATGCTCTGTAAGAAGCAAAGCCCTCTGCTGGATAGAGGCACGTATTTCTCAGACGTTTCTATATTCCAACACTTAAAGGGACACTCCAGTGCCAGGAAAACAAATCTCCCTCCTGGCACTACAGGTCCCCTCTCCCTCCCACGTTACTGAAGGGGTGAAAACCCCTTCAGTGACCTACCCAAGACCACCGCCGATGTCCCTCGGCGGTGGTTCAG